TGGAGGCCACAGGTCCTCCCCCCTCCCCCAATGGCAGGAGAGAACCTTGCCTCCCCCCCCAGGAGAGAAGCCTTACCTCTGTGACAAGTGCGGTCGCGGCTTCAACCGCGTGGACAACCTTCGTTCCCATGTGAAGACCGTGCACCAGGGCAAGGCAGGCATCAAAATCCTGGAGCCAGAGGAGGGTGGTGAGGTCAGCGTAGTCACTGTGGATGACATGGTTACGCTGGCCACCGAGGCACTGGCGGCAACAGCCGTCACTCAGCTCACAGGTGCGGGCTGTGGGCAGCAGAGGGTGGTCACAAGCAGTTTGCCTCTGGGTTGGCAATGAAGGGGCAGGTGCCTCTGGCCTTAGGCCCTGCTGATTCTGCCCACAGTGGTACCAGTGGGGGCTGCAGTGACTGCTGACGAGACGGAAGTGCTTAAAGCCGAGATCAGCAAAGCTGTGAAGCAAGTACAGGAAGAAGGTGAGTGAGAAGGGCTGACCAGGGGTGAAAGCTGGTGGAGGGTCCTTCGCATCCTGACTGTGGCCCCCACCTCCCACAGACCCCAACACTCATATCCTCTATGCCTGTGACTCCTGTGGGGACAAGTTCCTGGATGCCAACAGCCTGGCCCAGCATGTGCGGATCCACACTGCACAGGCACTGGTTATGTTCCAGACGGATGCGGACTTCTATCAGCAGTACGGGTCAGGCAGCACGTGGCCAGCCGGGCAGGTGTTGCAGACTGGGGAACTGGTCTTCCGCCCTCGGGATGGGGCTGACAGCCAGCCTGCTCTGGCAGAGACACCCCACACAGCCCCAGAATGTCCACCGCCTGCCGAGTGAGCAGGCATCCCTCCTCCTGACTGTTTATTTAAGGATGGGCGGCCCCATTCCCTAGAGAGAATAAATCTGATTATTTTCTAATGCTGCCTACAGCTCCCTGTGGGGGTGGGGAGGGGAGCTGGCAGCTGTGGCGGATGCCCCAAAAGGCTGCTCTACCCAAGAACCAGTCGGCACAGACCTGCTTCTTGGGAAAGCCAGGCTGTCCCTTCTGCGGAATGGGACTGGAGCCCTGGGACCTGTTTAGAAGCAAGCTGGCTGCTTTGCCCAAGTCAGGGTGCAAGGCTCCATGCACCCCACCCCCTCAACCAATCTTCTCTTTGGAAGCTTCTCACCTGTTCACCATGAGGATCCCAACTTTCTTCTCTGCCATGGAGCTGCTCCCCCTCTGCCTGGGGGTTGGGAGCTGGGCCAGCAGAGGCTGGCCACACTACTTACCAGGATCCAGGCAACCCAGAGAGCCCAGCTCGGGCCATTCAGCCAGAGCAACAAGGTAGGCAGAGAGAACCAGGCCCAATAGGCCATATCCCTGTTTCGTTGGGTTTGGGGAAGCAGAAGGGCTCTACACTGACTTCACAGTAACCTTACTGTGGATCGTGGCCAAGCCAGTACCATCTTTTGGGAATATGTACTTGCCTTGAATCAATAGTCTCTCCCACCAGGTGAGGGCCTGGAGGAACAATGAACAGCTAGGAGCTTTGATGGGGAGATGAGAGACACAGCACTGCTTAAACTAAGCAGAAGCAGAGGCTGGGGGGACACGACAGGGAAACGTGAGATGCCATCTCTGCCCTTTCCATACAATTTCCCCCCAGCAGCCGTCATCCCTTACTCAGAGATAGTAACTTCTTGCACCAAAAGTATAGGTCTTTGGAGGAGCCCCATGGATATTGCAAGTGAGACACCAACACTGCGTTCCGTGTTCCCGTCCCTGCCCAATTCCTCAGCTTGTAGGGGAAGCCTGGCCCACCACCCCATCTTCCTGTCAGGAATACTGTTCCGCCAGGCTGTGTCACTGCTGCTGCAGGGCTCGCCTGTACCACACCCAGAGGAGGAAGGGTGAAGAGTCAAGACACCAACGCTTGCTCAAGTTGTTTGAGTGTGCATGGCGGTGGTTTTACCTGTAGTGCCTTCCACATTATCCAGAACCAATCAGAGCCTTGAAATATCACAGGTCTTTACAGCACCACAGCACTGAGAAAAGTTCGGTCTGTGACAAAGATCTGTTTTATACAAGATAAAATGATCCTTGGAGGGTTAAAGTGGTAGATTGGAAATAGGTCCCCTATACAGACTGAAAGAAGGCAAAAGTGGGATGAGGGCTAGCTACTCCCATAAGCCAAGGACATTTGTTGGTCCTCCCACCCTAGTGACAATTACATCCACACTTGACATGTTTTGTATTTTTTAATAAAGTTTGTAATCCAATGGACACACAAAACAAAACTGCGCTGAGAAAAACAGTTTCATAAATTAATAGGTGTTAGGAAGTTGTGGGGAGAGGTCAAGGTCACATAAGAAGAGGGAAGCCAGTCTTTTTGCAGTGTGTGTGTGTGTGTGTAAGAGAGAGAGAGAGAGAGAGAAACACACACACACTTTCAGATCGCAGGGGCAGGGCCCGGCTGTAACGAAGCGCACTTATACAAATGAGTGACAATACAAAGTCTGAGTATGAAAATAAGATTTTTCTCTTAAAACACATTTTTGGCACAGATTAAAAAAAATGTATGTCAGGGGGATTTGATTTTTTAAGTCAGTATTATATATATTTATATATATTATATATTTATATATACACACATCCCAAGTTCTGCATATCCCACCGACAGAAAATCCTTCGGTTTGCTCTTCGTTTCGATTGTAAGCTGTACATCCTGGGTGAATCAGATGGTGGTGGCAAGAGAATTAAGAAAGATGACAGCCAGATGAGCAAGGAGAAGGGGGGAGATGGGGACAAACCCAATGAAATGTTCCTTGACCCCAAGGTTTCAGCAGCAGTTTGAAGTCCTGCGTTGAGTCTGTGACGTGTGTTCACATACACCAAGATGTCCAGAGTGCCACAGCCTGTCTTCACTATGCAAAAGTCCAGTCACTAATTTAGTGCAAAGGCAGTTCTGTTTTCTTGTTTCTTAAAAACAAAAACAAAAAAATTTAATTCCACTGCCCTGTTCCTTTTCTCCAAAAAGAGGAGAAACCCAGCCCCAAGGTGTCTGCAAGTCCATCGGTTGGTGGTCTGTCCTTGGGCTAAATGTCTTGTAAACATACATAGTAGCAGCACCACTGCCCAGAGGGGTCTGTCCGCCTGAGCTGGGCCGGCAGGCCAGGAGGGCAAGGCTGGCCGTCTGGCAGTGGAGTCTGTCCCCTTCGGCAGCTTCTTCCTCCACTTGGCTGGGTTGTCCTGTGTGTGTGTTTGCTGCAGAGCCTCGGGAAAATACACTGAGTCGTTGACCGACCAGTGGCTCACACAGAGGCAATGACAATCATGAGGTGGGGAGAAATGTTGGAAATGCTGGCCAGAAGGTCAGGGGCCAGACGGGACAGGTGACTCTCCGAGAACTCGCAGGGTGGGAAGATCTGCAGCACGTAGGCAGGCTGGAGAAGAGGACAAGAGTGTAAGTGGGACCCCCCTCTTCACATCACCAACCCCACTGCCATTCCTCTGGACAGGCCCAACGCAGAAAGCCAGGTTGAGTCAGTTCCCTAACCAGCTAAGTCTCTGTGGCTTTGTCAGAAAACTAACATGAACTAATTTCCTGCGACCCCCTTCTATATCATTAGGCTAAAGACAAACCTGCTGTATCAGCTGTCCCTTGATTGTCTCCAGGATGGGCAACAATGGCCCCACCCAGACACTGCTTATTACCTCGAACCAGAATGCCCTTTGCCCACCTCTGAGAAACTCCTGAACTGCTCTGGCTGCACTAGTGGGCCATGCCACCAGATCAGTCAAATTGCATGACCACCCCCACTGTGTGCACCGAGGAAGGACACTGGGCAGGGAGCTGACCTGATTGGAGCCAGGGTTAGGAACATTGATGATCCCCGCCGCCTGCTTGGCCTGTAGATAGGTGATGAAGGCAGCCTTGAGGGATTCGGTCTGGCTTACGACATCCTCTTGGTCACGGCCACAGGGCAAAGCCAGCAGCAGACAGTACTCTGACTCCACCTGGGACAGAGGCAACTGTCAGGGGCCTCCTCACAACACACAGAGGCCTCCTCACAACACACAGAGGCCTGTCCAATCCAGGGGGTTTGGCTCCTATGTCCACAAAAGCTCCCACCTCTGAAATGACCTGAAAGTCCACCCCTAAAATGTTGAATGAAAAAAAAGCCTTGTTTTATGTCTAGAGCAGGAGTGGGCAAACTTTTTGACTCGAGGGCCACAATGGGTTCTTAAACTGGACCAGAGGGCCGGAACAAAAGCATGGATGGAGTGTTTGTGTGAACTAATATAAATTCAAAGTAAACATCATTACATAAAAGGGTACAGTCTTTTTTTTCAAGTTTTATTCATTTCAAACGGCCGCCGTAGTTTGCCCACAGCTGGGCTAGAGGCATTTTACACTCTGAGGAGAGAGAACATGCCCAGTACCATCTGCACTAAGAATGCCGTTGCTGCAGCCCATAATGAGATAGGCGGCTGGGGGCCACCCACACCTTATATCCCTGGGTGGGGCAGCTGCTCACCCGGGCCCCATCTTACCGTCATCCTTCGGGTAACCCCTTCCAGCTGTGAGGCCTCCAGCCGCATCCTCTGGGCAATCCTCAGGGGAGGGCCTCCTTCAGAGAGGGGTAGAGACCGATGGGCCAGGACATTGTTGCCAGAGACAAAGTGGAGCTGCACAGCAGCTGTGTCATTCTTGAGGGCCAGGAGGCCCTGCCACACAATGGGGTACTTCTGTTCAAGGGAAAACAAACAGGAAGTGAGCTCATGCCTGGACATGGCTCTAGGCAGCAGGCTTACTGTGCTAAATCAAGTGGGGATCTTAGGACATTTACCACAGCACCAAGCTTGGAGAGGAGCAGTGGGGGGGCCCCTCCCAGACTTACCTTCAGAAGCTGGACCATATCCACAGGCCTCTGGGAAGTCAAGTGTGGAGAGGAATCTTGTTTGGGGGAGGGCTGGGCTTCAGTGTACAGCAGAGCCAATCCTGGAGGGGTGCTAGGGCCCGAGGTTGTGGAGACAAACAATGGCTGCTTTGGGGCAGCCTGGGCAGGGAGAGGGCCCGGAAGGTCAGGCTTCATGGAGACAGATACAGGGGAGGGATAGGAGATCTGGCTTGTTTCTGTCTGGGTCCTCTGAACCTGGACATGAGGCTCAGCTGGTCTGTTCACAGGTACGGTTGGGAGGCGAGGCTGTTCTACTCCTGTCTGGGTCCCTTTCGCCTCCTGGGAGACCTGAGGCATCTTGCTGCTTGGTGGCTGGCTAAGCTGTGAGGGCTGCGTGGGCTGGACAGGCTGTGTGGACAGCACAGGCTGCTGGGCAGGCTGTGTAGACGGCACAGGTTGAGTGGGCTGCAAAGGCTCACTTTCAGGAGGGGGACCCTAGAGTTGGGCAGGAAGAGATAGGGACAAGGTGACAGTCTGTTATGAACAACACCCAGCCCTCAACCTACTGGCCTTTGGCCCCAGCAAGAGTCAACTATGAGCATCTCCTCTCAGCTAGGCTGAGGAGGGGGGGGACACGACACTTTAACCAGTTGGTGATGCATTCTGGGGCTCAAGATTGAGGGTTCTGGTAAGAGGAGGTAACGTGTTCCCTCCCTCCCTCCCCACAAAGAGCTCCTTCCCGTGTCCTTAAGCTCTCTGTGCTGTGATCTGATCCCTGAAATTTAGCAAGTTTCTCTTTAAACCCACAAAAAGAATGACACACTTTAGGAACCACTAGCACCTGAATCACTGTTTGCACTAGAAGGCTGATTTGTAGTGCTCACCTGAGTGGGAACCTTGGTCCGGGAAGGCAGGCCGATGGAGGTGGTGGCAGGAAACTGAGTGTGAGTGAGCTGAGCCGGGCCATGGTAGGTGCGGATATCCCCGCATCTGTACTCCTGAAACAGCTCCCCGCCACTGGAGTGTACGATCTGCACCCCATGGGTCACCACCACAGGTGGGCTCAGAGGCAGCCCTTGGAGCTGGTTGCCGGGGGTGACTGTAAGGATTCGGGCCTCGCTGTGAGGGGCAGGGGCTGCTTTGGCATCTGTCATCTTGGCAGCTTCTTTCCCAGGCTGCTGAGGGGGCTTGCTGGCTGGTGGCACCTTCACTATACCATCTGCTGCCCGGGGCTGCTCACTGACTGCTGTCACATGAGGGTGCACCATGATCCTCACGTCCCGGGGCACAGTGTATGGGTGCAGTCGGTACTCGGACTGCATGACCAGTACTTCCGACTGCACAGGGGCTGCGGCTCGAGCAACAGGGAGGTGATAATGCACTTCTTCCTCTGGAGCGTGTTGGGAGGCCAGGGAGGACACACCAGCTGTGGCTGGCTGGGGCGTGCCTGCCCGCTGTGGGGCCCTGACCTCTATTTGCTGGGGTTGCAGAGGGGCCCGAGGTGAGTGAAGTGCCTCTGGCCGGATGCTGTAGGTGATGCTAGGCAGTGTGGGCGTGTTCATTCTCACTTCACCCTGGGACAGATGACTAAGGGAGACAGTCTGGGTGATGCTGTGGGGTGGCATGATGACAGACTGCTCTGGGTGTATGCTGGAGATGAACTGAGGAACAGATGGTCCTGCTGGGGTGGCATGCCCTTGGGAAAAGAGATGGAGCAGGCCCACTGGGTCGAGGAGAATGTGCGTCTGGCTTTGTGGCGGCCAGATGGGAGATAGTTCGATCTGTTGGGGTGCTGGGCCCTGAGGTGATGTGGTTTGCTTCTGCAGGCAGTTTGCTGGGCAGAGCAGGAGGGTGGTGGGGAGTGAGAGCAGACCCCAGGTTAGCCGGCTGAAGGACCTTAGTCTCTATTTTGAGAGTGACAGGGTCAGCAAGCTTTTTATTAGTGGTAACTATGCTTGGGGTGAGAACCAACTGGTTGTGAACCAGCACTGGGGATGTGTTTATGCCCTGGGTGAGAACCTTCACTGTGCCACCCTGGGTGACAGGGGTGGACACAGAGAGGTGAAGGGGCTCAGACTTCTCCAAGGAAGGACGGTCGGCTTTAACAGATGAAATCACCGGAGATGCATTATATGTCTGGGCAGTTAGCACTAGAGTAGAGTGGGTGGCCACATTTGCATAGCCTGAAGGAGTCTGAGGGCCTTTGGGTGGTGGCTGTGATGGTGCAACAGAATCAGGTTTGACCTGGGACTTGGATACCGACTGTTGAAATTCAATGTCCATGGCACTCGCTGGGGGGATCTGGCTGATCTTGGCGCTGATCCGCTGTGGGCCTTCAGTCTTCTGCCCTGAATAGCTCAGGAGCACAACCCCTTCAGAAGTGTTCACACGCAGCCCAGCTCCAGAGCCCGAGTCTGCTGGACGCTCGTCAATCACAGACATAGACCCCGGGTGGAACCGAGTGTTTTCGTTAGAGCTCGACCTCTGCTTGCACTTTGCTGGTGGTGCAATCATGGCACCTGCCACAGTCAATGCACCTGTTGTGGTGGCAGTCACAACACCAGACGCAGCAGTCACTGCACCTGCTGTGACTGTCACTGTACCCGCTGAGGCGCTCACTGCAGCCGCTGTAGCGCTCACTGCAGCCGAAGCGGCATTCACCACACCTGTGGCAGTGTTCACTGTGCCCACAGTAGCATTCACCGGAGTGGTGAGAACGTTCACTGGCCCTGTCAGAACATTTACTGGCCCCTTTAGGACATTGACGGGGCCAGCAGAAGTGTTCACCAAACCTTTCAGTGTCGTCACTGAGCCCTTCACAGGGCCTTTCAGGGCATTCACTGGGCCAGTCAGTGCATTCACTGGGACCAAGGAGACATTTACCAGGCCGGTCAGGGCGCTCACCAGACCAGTCAGGGTTTGAGGAGCTGGTTTTGCCAGAGTTATCTTTTGTGAATTCTCCAAATCAATGCTGACAGGCATCCGGCTAATAACAGAAGTAATTTTGGGAGCAATGACTGGAGCCCCCTTTTCTTTATCAGTGGCCACTGCAGCCTCTGAGGCCTGGGTGTCAGAAGCACTAGTTACTGGAGCTCCTGGTTGTTCTTCTAAAAGAGGCTGTTTAAGTTCAGCTGGAGGGGCTGGTGCCTCATGCAGACAAGGGGCAGCACTGACAGGCTCTGCAATGGCAGCCGTGACACTCGTGGAAGTGATGCCTGTGGCAGATACATACTTGGGGTCCATGAGAATCTTTCTCAGTGTACTGGAGCTGGTGTCAATGTCAGAGGCTTTTGTGTCTGGGGGAAGAGCTGGAGATGGGGTGGACTGAGCCCGAGGTTCCTCCTGTCTTGTGATCCACTCTGTCACCTTAGTAGGGGGACTCTGGTGTGGGATCCCCCCAGAGGTCAGTGGGGGTGGGAGCTTTGCTGCAGTTGCAGAAGGAATTGTGGGGGTAGGTATGCTTGAATCACTGGGTGGGGTCACTGGATCACTTTCAATGATGGAATGCACCTTGAATCTGGCTTGGGGCTCACTGTCCACCAATACTGGCTGGGAGGGAGGGAGAGGGTCTGGGAGCACAGTCCTTTTGGTTGGAGTCTTTTCTTCAACACTGCTTTCTTGGGACAAATTTTCCCTGGATGGAGTCTCGCTTGGGTCAGAAGCACATGTCTCCGGAGGAGTGACCTGGGGCTTTTCACTCTGCTTTTCTTCTTGCGGAGCTTCTGGGGGTTGTACCACTGTCCCCTCATTTGTGGCAGGATTATTGCTTTGAACTTGGTTGGGTTGTGAGACACGGGTCTCTGCAGTAGCCCCCGTTTTCTTGTTTGTATTCCGTTTGCGGCGTGATCTAGTTTTATGGCGCCCTTTGTCTTTCCGAGGGAGAGCCACTTCAGCTTCTTTTGATCCCTTAGTTTCCAGCACTGGGTGGGGAGTTTCACTGCTATTCCCTCCAACTTCCTTGGTATCTGCTGGGCCTGCGGAAGGGTTAGGGGCACTGACTTGTGGGCCAGAAGATTCTGTAGTAGCCTCAGTTTCCCAGACGCCAGACCCAGCCTCATTGGTCTCAGGCTCCATTCCCACCTCAGGAGTCTGCAGCTCTTGTGAGTGGGGCTGCAGGTCTGTCTGAGATTCTGCAGGGTAAGGTGGAGGTGCTGGGGAGTTTTCTGGCTCCCCAGAAATATCATTGATGATGGAGCCAATGGCCGCAGCCAGTTCTGTTTCGCTCGCTTGGTGTGCAGGCTTGTCCCTGTCCTCTGTGGAAAGGCCCTCTGGTGCATCTGTGGCTGCTGCCTTGAAAGCCGCGGAGGCAGAGGTTTCAGTGAGCTTTTCGATGTTCTCCACGGCCTGCTCCAGCTCCATCTGCTTGGCTAACTGATTTGCTTCTGGGGACAGCTTAGGGGCAGACAGATCTTCCTTCTCTGGCTCCTTGTCTGGACCAGCTGGATCACAGTTCACCTGGGATGAAAGACCCTCCTTGGGTGGACTCCCACTCTTTTCAGGGGAGACTGCCACAACCCCAGCTTCTTTCTCCACAGCCAGCCCTGCAGGGCCCAGAGCCACAATGGGACTTACACTGGCCTCTACGGTTTTCAAATTTGCAGATTTGTCCACTGCTGACCTAGAGTTTCGAGATCTTCCTCTCTTTGATTTGGAATTTTTTTCAGGGGCTGTTTTTTTCTCTACCACTTCAACTGGGGGGGTTTCAAGTGGAGTTTTGTCTGTGCCAATTTCTTTTTTGTCTCTTTTCGATTCACTTCCTGCTGCTTCTTTATCAGTCTTAGGTTTTGTATTATTTTCTTTCACATTTACTTGGGGACTCACCTCAGTGGTGGTCTCAGTATGTTCAACATCAACTTTAGGTTCATTTTTCCCCCTTTTCCCATGTGGGCCACCAGCAGCTACTGATTTTTGGGACCGTGGGGATCTCCATCCCTCAGCTGGTTTAAGTGTTTCAACTGGCTCTTTCACTTCAGTCTCCTCTTCTTCTTCAGCTCGACGGCGTGTTTTTGGAGGCCTTCCCCTCCGAGGGGTAGTAGGAACTGCCACAGCCTCCTGAAGCTCCCGCTCCAATCTCTTCCTGGTCACTCTCGGTTGCTCGATGGGCTCCTTGACTGGAGAGCGGCTTTCGTGGTCACCCATGGTTGCATAGACACTCCTTACATTCCGGCGCCTGGTTCGGCTGAGGGGCAAACTTGGCTCAGGGTGTTCAGTGTCCGTGGCTGAGTTTTTAGAGGCAGCCCTTGTAATCTTCTCGGCCTCCATCTTCAACTCTAAGAGCTTCTGGGCTTCTCCCCGAGGAGAATTGGACCTCTTGAGTTTTTCCCGGTCTATCCTCTCACTCTTCCTTGTGACAGGCTTCTCCACAATACTTGCTACAGCTGCCTGCATGGGGGTCTTGGAACGTTTGCTTTTGTTTGGCTTTTTATCTTTTGTAGCAACTGGAGGTTCAACCTCTACACCTTCGGAAGCTTGAGGCTGAACCTCAGCAACAACTTCAGCTTTCTGATTTGCAATGGGCTCAACACTAGCAGTAGGGTCTGGCTTGTCTACTTTTGGCTCATCAGTTTCCTTAGGCTTCTGAGTCGGTTTTGAAAGTGGTTGGGTATTGTCAGGTTCTGGGTCCCCACTGATCTCTGCATGGGAAAATGAGGCCCCAGGAGTTGGAGGCTTGGCATCCAGATAAGGCAGCTGGTCAACTGATGAACTTTCTCCAACTAAAGGAGTCCCGGCAGCATCCTTCTCGGCATCTACTCCTGGGGGCAAGTCTGCCTGTTCAGGTTGTTCCACAGCAAGGGGAACCAGTTCAGATGCAGGTTTTGCTTCTTCTGAGACAGAGGCTGGCTCCATGGTCTTCTCTTCGGTCACCGAAAGCAGCTCTCCTGTTTTATCACCGGCTGTCTTCTCCAGTGGCAATGATGCCGACTCTGGAGTTAAAACAGTGACACAAGGAGGCCCAGTCGAAGATGGTGTTTTCAGTTCTGACTCTTTATTCTCAGAAGCAGATTCTGGGGTCTTGGGATGATCTTCTGTATCTTCCTGTTTCTCAGCCTCTTTAGGTTTTTGGTCTTTTTCTTTTTCTTTCTGTTGCATTCGTGTGAGTTCCATAAATCTGCTATGGAAAAGAACTACTGGCTCTTGAATCAAATCAGTTGTGCTGTTCACTCCATCAGATGTCTGCCTCCCATATAACCTACCAGAAACGAAGTCAGATTCCTCATCTTTTCTCTCTAGGTGCTGTAAGCGCTTGGAATCTTGTTCAAAGATTGAGCTATGTAAAAAACGAGAAGCAAATAATTCTTGCCTTTCCTGTTCTTCTTCTTTATGATCATCTTTTTTATCATCAATTTTTCCTTCTGAATCAGTCCGAATTTTCTTCTTTTTCATGTACCAAGATGGAATAGGTCTTGGAGCAGAGTCAACTTTTTCTTTATCTTTGTTGTTTCGAAAATTAGCAAATCGAGAGTCCCAATCAAGAAAAGACCAATTTTCTTCTCGAGATGAAGAGAGGGATTTAGCTCTTTCAAGCAAAGCCTTAGTGTCTGGGGTGATTGTCTTATCCAATGCAAAAGAATAAAATTTGTTCCTTTCTAAAGAACTAGAGAATCTTTCATCTCGCTCACGTAGTTTGTCTTCTCTATCCCTCAATAAAAAAGATAATCGAGAACTTTCATATAATGCTGACGCTCTGGGTGAGTGGGATTTGTGTTCAACATCTTCATCAGAATCAGAAGGCACCTCACCAGGTTCTAAGTCACGTACAGACCTCTTTCGAAGGCTGTCCCTCTTAATTATGCTGTTTGGGAAACTCACATCAAATCTGCTGGCATCTTGCTTCATTTGCGAGTCCCACTGATTTAGTTCATCTTCAGAATTCAAGACAGTCAGTTTTATTTTGGCCATGTCTGCCATCTGTTCTCTCTTGCTGGAATCGTAAGGATTAAATTTTAAGGATTCTTCTCTGACTGTCATATTAGAATAAGGGAGTCCCTTTTCATCTACTTTAGGAGACCCTTTTACTGACATTAGCCTAGGAGAGCCTATGGGGTCATCTTCCTCATGGAAGGAACCATGTCGGATACTGGGAGAACAACCAGTCCTTTCAGAATCTTCGCTGATTTGGCGTGAACTTCTGTAATTCCTCTCTCTCTTGGTGCAGATATCAAAATCAACATGATCCATCCTTTTCTTTTTGCTGGGCGGCGAATCATCAGTGACATCTTGAGGGGGTTTACCTACCTCATGAACAAGACTACGCCTTTCATAGTCATCTACATCTTTTTTAGGACTGCCAAACTTCTCAGACTTGGCTATTTCCATCTCCATCTGCTGTTTTCTACGACTCTGCTCCATTTGTTTTCGATAACTCTGCGTGTAATCAATATCAATGCCAATTTTTTCTTCAGTATTTGCTGAATGTGGTTTCTCTTGGCCTGATTTACATTCAAGTGCTTCATCACGAAGACTGCAATAGTTTTTCCTAACATCTTCTCTCTCTGGTCCTTGCTCATCTAATAACTGCAGCTGTTTGAGCTGTGGTTTGGAGGGAGTAGGTTTTTTTGACTGGATTTCTTGATTTTCCACAGATTCACCTACTGGTTCTCCAAGCCTTGCTTGCAGGTCTGAGATGGGTCTTGAGCTAGTCCCAACAGAAATACTGACAAGTTCCTGACAGTCTTTGGGGCTGGGAACAGCATTAAGTCTGTCTAGTTTGATTTTTTTAGAGTCTCTTTTAAGAATTTCTTTCCTCGTGGGCTTTCTCTCAGACTCTCCTTCCTTCAACAGAATGACATCTTTAGATGGCGTGTCAAGCTGCTTTTTTAAAAGCACCCGAGCATCCTCCATCTCTGGACTACTTTTCTTGACTTCTGATTTTTGCCTTTCTGCTTTCAAATTGGAATCTGCAAAACGCCTTTTCCTTGCTTCCAGCTTCTCCAAATCCACAGCACTTACCCCATCAGCAGACTGCTCTGGTTTTAGGTGCTTCCGGGTTTTAAGTCGGCCTTCCTTATCTACCACTTCTATGTGGCTTGAAAGTGCCTTTTCCTTTGGCACTTTCATTCTGACAGATTCCAGTTTAGATAAGTCAGATTTTGCAGGCTCCATGTGAGAAACTTGCAGTTTCTGATCTATGGCAGAAGACTTAACAGTGTCATTATCAAGCTTGGCTTTCAGCTTTTCCAATGGAGTGTGGTCAATCACCTTCCCCTCTTTTTCTTTCACTCGAGTCAAAACCACACAAGGCATGAGTTCTAAGCGGTTTTTTGCTATTCCTTCTTTGTCAGCTTTCTCTCTGCTCAGTTTATTAAAACTCCTTGATTTTTCAGGGCTCTGTTCTCTTTCATTTTCTTGGTCTGTTTCTGAAGATTGGGAACTAGGAGAATGAACTTTTCCTTTTCGTTTCTGCTTGTCAGTTTTGTCCTTTTCCACTTTCTCCTTCCTTATTAAGCGTCTCTCTCTTTCCACTCTCTCAGGATCAAAAGTTCGTTCTTTATCTGTCTTTTCATTTTTTGTATAACGTTCCAAACGAGGTTTGTCAAGTTTATCATATCTTGGAGGGGAAAGTGAGCTACAGCTTCCACTCCGGTCTGAGGACCGGCTATAAACCCTCCTCTCAGAATCACTTGGTAATCTCTCTGACTGTGAGGGAGATGTTCCAGGACTCTGTGGGCGCCGCAGGTGCACCGGACTCTGACTGCGTTCAATTGGCCTCCTCTCATGGTCTCTGTCCCGGTCAGGATCAAATCTTTCGCGTTCTCTTTCTCGTTCCCGTTGCCTGTAACTGTAATCCCGAATATCTTGTTCATAAGGATCACTTCTGTAATCCCTGTATTCCCGAGGATCATCATAATAGCGAGATTCATAATAGTCTCCTTGGTAAGTTTCCCATTCTGAATAAAATTCTCTCCCTCGAGCTGGATAGTCCCGTCTAGAATCCTCAGCATATGTGCCTGGAGTACGGACATTCTCATAATATGTGCGATCTTGGCTATAATCATAAGATCCCCTTCGTTCCTCTCTGCCAAAAACAAACAAAAAAATATTTCATTCTTTTGTTTCCTTGTCATTTATACATTAAAGCATACATATAAGATTACAAAGTCCTGCTTCTAATAATCTTTGCCATTATTTAGTCATTAGACCTGTAATGTTCAATACTGTTGGCACTAGCCACGTCTGACTACTGAGAACTTGGAATGTGGCTAGCCTGAATTGACATGGGAATGTAAAATACCCACTGACATTGATAGATTCAGTTTTTTTTAAAAAAAGGAAAGATACTTCAGTAATTTTTTAACTTGATTATATGTTGAAATGATAATATATTTTAGATATACTGAGTTAAATAAAATTGCACTTTTTCTTTTAACTTTTTTATGTGGTTATTAGAAAATTTAAAACCATAGATGTAGCTTACATTATATTTCTATTGAATAGCAGTAGTTCAACCCATTTTATTCCTTTATTATTTGGTACTGTGGGGTTTTTATATATAATTGATTTTTTACAGAGAGGAAAGGAGAAGGATAGAGAGTTAGAAACATCGATGAGAGAGAAACATCAATCAGCTGCCTCCTGCACACTCCCTTACTGGGGATGTGCCTGCAACCAAGGTACATGCCCTTGACTGAAATCAAACCTGGGACCCTTGAGTGCACAGGCCGACGCTCTATCCACTGAGCCAAACCAGTTAGGGTGGTATTGTGGTTTTTAATAAGCACCAGCATTAAGGGGTATCATGTCCCCACATTTCTAAGTCTTTTATAATTACTTTTCTGCCAAAAGATATTCTTACTACAACTTGAGAAACAAATATACTATGTTCCTGACATAGTATTTGAGGGAATAAGTGAAATACTACTTTTAAACTGCAAGCCCTTATGCAAATGGGACATCATTTGCACTCCTGAGCTAAACTATCATTAGAGGTAAAGCATTTTTTTCATTGCATGAATCAACTATTCAGTGAGATGACTACCTTCAACTCTATGGCAAAAGCAAAGACCACTAAGTTCTACTCAAGCATCCTCCACCTCTGGACTACTTTCCTTGACTTCTAATTTTCCATAAGCACTGCCATCTGAAACCAAATGAGGCAAAACTAGTTCACAGTGAAGCCCACACCCTCCCACTTCCTACTTTGGTAGATACTATAAACTCCATTCAACAGGGATTAAATAACCATGGGTAAGAATCAAAGAAAAAAGCTGGAATCAGATCATCAGTAAAATAAGTGAATTTAAGTAGTAATATATAAAAATTAACATCCAGTCCTAGCTGGTTTGGCTCAGTGGATAGAGCGTCAGCTGGTGGACTGAAGAGACTCAGGTTTGACTCGGGTCAAGGGCACATGCCCAGTGGGGAGCATGCAGGAGGCAGCCTAGCAGTGGTTTTCTCTCGTCATTGATGTTTCCATCCCTCCCCTCTCCCTTCCTCTCTATAATCAATAAAAATATATTTAAAAAATAAAAATTAACATCCACACAATATTATCCAACCTCACAAGATACTGTTCTTTGAAAAATATTTAATGTACACACAGAGGATCTTAATGGATTTTTTTATGTGTTAGGTACCAGTAGACCACCAACACTTTCCACTCAATTATGGGTAAGAATTCCTGTTAGCACTTGAAGTATCCTATCTAATAAAGAGGTAATATGCTAATTGGCCCTCACACTGTCACAAAGATGGCGGTGCCCACAGCCAATAAGGAGGGACTATGCTAATTGAATGCCATGCCCTCAAAGATGGCGGCGCCCACAGCCACAAGATGGCAGCGCCCAGTCCCCTCAGCCCTCCAGCTGCCCAGGGCCACCCGAGGCTTGCGCTGCTGGCAGTGGCAGCAGCAGAGGTGTGATGGAGGTGTCTCCTTCCCCTGATCTCCGGGTTGCTTCCCAACCCTGAGGGCTCCTGGACCATGAGAGGGGGCAGGCCGGGCTGAGGGAGCCCCCCTCCAGTGCATGAATTTTCATGTACCGGGCCTCCAGTTAATGATAACTTCAAACTGAGCCAGGATAAAAAACTTTTCTGTCTCTACATATACATACATTCTCTTGCATATGTATGCATACGTGTGTGCCTATGCGCGCGCTCTCTCTCCTCTTTCTCTCTCTCTTACACACACACACACACACACCTGACAAAGAAAAGCCTTGTATCAAGACTAAGGTTCTGGAGGACTGCTGATTTTTTATCTTTTGGAATGTAGATTCCAAACTACTAGCGAAAAACCATCAAGAAGGTTAAGCTTTGCCCTGGCTGGTATGGCTCAGTTGGTTGGGCATGGTCCCATGCATCTGAAGGTGATGGGTTCAATTCCAGGTCAGGGCATATGCCCAGGTTGTGGACTCAATCCCCAGTAGAGGGCATGCAGAAGGGTGAACTTTTGGGAATTTGGCTGTGGGAGACATTTTGCATTTAAAAGCTTTCCAAGTTAAGGACCCAGCTGGGTGGTTCAGATGATTGGAGCATTGTCCCATATACCAAAAAAGTTGCACATACCTAGGTTGCAGGTTCGATCCCTGGTTGGGGCACTACAGGGGGCAACCAATGTTTCTCTCTCACACCAATGTTTCTCTATCTCTCCAAAACCAATAAAAAAACATATCCTAGGGTGGGGATTAAAAACCTTCTAAGCTGCCCGGCTGGTGCGACTCAGTGGTGGAGCATCAACCTATGAACCAGGAGGTCACGGTTCGATTTCTGGTCAGGGCACATGCCAGAACTGCAGGCTCAATCCCCAGTAGGAGGCATATAGGAGGCAACCAATCAATGATTCTCTTTCATCATTGATGTTTCCATCGTTCCCTCTCCCTTCCTCACTGAAATCAAAAGAAATATATTTTAAAAAAGAAATACCTTCCAAGTTATTCAATGACCACTACACAATATTCCACAGGGAAAAGACTCAAAGAAATATATACCTTCTATGATTTAAATAAAAATGAAGTGACGGCCCTGACCAGTTTGGCTCAGTGGATAGAGCGTCAGCCTGTGGACTGAGGGGTCCCAGGTTCGATTCCGGTCAGGGGCATGTACCTTGGTTGCGGGCATGTCCCCAGTAGGGGGTGTGCAGGAGGCGGCTGATTGATGTTTCTCTCTCATCAGTGTTTCTAACTCTCTATCCCTCTCCCTTCCTCTCTGTAAAATCAATAAAATATATTTTTAAAAAATGAAGTGACGAGGCAGTAAAAAAAAAAGAATGTATTCAACAGGTTTTTAGCTGGTTGATCAGGATTTGGCTCAATCTTGTCAAAGAGCCTTTTATACTTGAACTGGAATGTCTAAAGACATTTTTCACACACAGCCTTTTGTCTAACACATATATGGGGGTAGAGATCTAGTGGTAACATTCCAGAAGACTTAATCTCATAGACATGTTTGGACAATCAGCTTGATCATATGGATGATAGCTTCCAATTTCAAATGTGATCAGCTATTGAATGTGGTGACATTATGTTAGGATATTTTAATATATTCAGTCTAAAAAAGAATCATCATCAGTTTGGGGGCAGTTTTAAGCTAACAGAAATAACACGATTCAGACAGTGAGATCTCAAATTATTCTGAACAGTATTGGTTCTTACAAGCAGCAGAAAAAATATCAAAAACTACATACCATGATTGATTGAAAAAATTAATGAGAGAAATAAGGTTTACTTTTTACATTGCTAAAGTTAGCAATTTATATATATTTTAGATTACTGATTCACAAATAATTTAAAACAAAGAGAGTTGAATTTAAAACAAAGCTCTTTAGCCTTTTGAAAGTTGTTTGTTTTTTAACTAATTGTATAAGCACATGTATGTTGACAACCTGGATGTTCTCATTTCTAAATATACAGGGCATTTAATAATTTATAATGTACTTCAACATGTTGTTATATTTAATTCAAAACTATACAGCAAGATGATCTATACTAATGTGGCAAAATGTAGGAGCAGTCAGTGAGAAATACAGATAGGTTACCCAACTCCCGTGAGCCACATGAAAACAGGACTCATAAAAATAAACCTGTTTCTATATAAGGAAAAAGGTTTTTTGGAGTAAGAATAGAAATAAGAAATGAAAATTAAAATTTAATCCCATCTAAATTTTATGTATTAAAATTTTTAAAAATCAAACTATGCTGATAATTTAAATACATACCTTCTCTCCATTAACATTTCATAGAAGTCTCTGATATCTTGGCCAGATTTTTCCATACAGTGATAAAATGCCAGCTGACTTTCCCGATTTGCAAAATCCACCTTAAAGAAAAAAGAATAGCAGGTATATCTGCAAGTTTCAGATTTAAAAAATGAAAAGTTACCAAATTTTTTAATTCTCCCCAAAATAGTCCTCAAGACTATTTCAAGAAAGAGCAATCTTCCTAAATGAAGTGAAATAACCCTCATAACAAACTGTATTTTGTTACTCTGAAATCTCTCAAATTCTACATAAATCTTGATAAAAAATTATAGGATTCGCCTTAGCTGGTTTGGCTCAGTGGATAGAGCGTCAGCCTGTGGACTGAAGGGTGCCAGGTTTGATTCCGGTCAAGGGCACATGCCAGGGGTTGCTAGCTCGATCCCAGTGCAGAAGGCAGCCAATCAATAATTCTCTTTCATTGTTGATGTTTCTCTCTCTTCCTCTCTCTCTCTCCCCTCTCCCTTCCTCTCTGAAATCAATAAAAATATATTTAAAAAAAAAGAATTATAAGGTTCTAGAAGGAGTGGGATAAGCAAAATGGAAAACTGAAATGATACCTAGCAGGATTCTAAGCTGTCAATTAAATAATCAGAACAACTAAATCCAGCAATCTCTGTTGTGCATAAATTTGCTGGAACCATAGTAAAAACATAAAATAAACTATGGGCCTTAACCAGTTTGGCTCAGTGGATAGAGCGTCAGTCTGTGGACTGAAGGGTGCCAGGTTCGATTCCGGTCAAGGGCCCATGCCAGGGGTTGCTAGCTCGATCCCAGTGCAGAAGGCAGCCGATCAATGATTCTCTTTCATCATTGATGTTTCTATCTCTCTCTCCCCTCTTCCTTCCTCTCCGAAATCAATAAAAATATATTTTTTAAAAAAAGAATTATAAATAAATTACTTGTTATATGGATTTGAGGGGCTAGTTAGACCCTATAAGGTTGTAGAAGGAATGGGATAAGCAAAATGGAAAACTGAAATGATACCTAGCAGGATTCTAGGCTGTCAATTAAATAATCAGAACAACTAAATCCAGCAATCAGAGCTGGGCCTCAGAGTCACTAAAAAGCATATAATATCCATCATCAATACCTTTTTTTAAAAATTGATATATTATTTGGAAAAGACTTATTTCAATCTAACCCATCATCAATGATTCTCTCTCATCACTGATGTTTCTATCTCTTCCTCTCCCTTCCTCTCTCTAAAATCAATAAAAAGACATTTAAACCAAAAAAAGGGGCAAGATCTGAATATGACTTTGTTTTGCTTCTGTTTACCTTTATGCTACATACCTTAATTTTATTCCCACCAATTTTCCTCCCTTTGGTCTCTTTTACAGCTGCCTGTGCATATTCAATTTCATTGTAAATAATCAGGGCCATGCCTTTTAAGCGGTCAAACACCACCTGTAAAAAACAACAAAAAAACACACAACAACAAAGTAAGAACCTCATTCACTAGACACAGTATCAGTCCCAAACAAACTCCTAAGTCACAAGGACACTGTCAAGATAAAATATACTTACATACATTTTATTTATTTACTTATTTTATTTTTGTTAATCCTCACTCAATGATATTTTTCCATTGATTTTTAGAGAGTGGAGTGGGAGAGACAAAGAGACACATCAATTGGCTGCCTCGTGCATGGGGATCAAGCCTTCAACTAAGATACATGTCCTTGACCGGAATTGAACCCGGGACCTTTCAGTCAACAGGCTGAAGCTCTACCCGCTGAGCCAAACTGGCTAGGGCTACTTATATACATTTTATTCTAGAAAAAAATTTCAGGCTTTTCCTGATTATGCATATTGTAGTGAAAACAATAAAATGTGTAAGGACTGTTTAGAATCATGGCTACTGTGGCCTGAGGTATATTATGCCTTATTTTGTTTTTCTGTATTTTACTTTATTTTCCACATTGACTGAATACTGCCCACTTTAACAACATTGATAGGTTCTGTGACTTTAAGCAAAATGACATATAATAAAACCAATTTTACCACAGGTTAACTGCTATAAACAAGAGTTAAGTTCCAACAGCATCTCATCAACACTATAATGAAATGACACGGAACAAAACGATGTTATTTGAGAACCTGCTACATTTAAGTAAGCATTCTAGTTTTAGCTAAAAAAAAAAAAAAAAAAAAAAATCAATACTCTTGGCAGAGAGAAAAAATGTGAAGAGTATTGGATCAACAAAAAATGTTAGTGACTCTTAGTTGTAAGTGGCACTACCATCTTAAAGCTATTGGATTTTTTACACTAGCACTCTTTAACGTGTATTTCTCCAATCAACAAAAACTACATTTAAAAAAATGTCAAAATTATGCAACATGTCCACCACAGTGTAAATCTGCTTTTTTAAAAGCTTTACCTTTACATAATGGAATGGGGCCAGAGATCATTTTCCTGTTTTATTTGTGGGTCTGTTACATAAACACTGATTAGATGAATATTCTGTTGTGTGACTGTCTTGATAAAGTCATCATTAGCCCTAGCCCGTTTGGCTCAGTGGATGGAGCAATGGCCTGCGGACTGAAGGGTCCCAGGTTCGATTCCGGCAAGGGCACATGCCCAGGCTGTGGTCTCGATCCTTAGTAGGGGGCGTGCAGGAGGCAGCTGGTCAATGATTCCCTCTTATCATTGATGTTTCTATCTCTCCCTCTTCCTTCCTCTCTGAAATCAATGAAGAAATGTATATATTTTTTGAAAAGTCATCATCATTAAAAAAAAATCAAGTCTAATTACATATTAGTGTGAACATGAACAATACTATATAATAAAAGGCTAATATGCAAATTGTCCCCTCGAGAGTTCAACCACTCGCTATGACATACACTGACCACCAGGGGGTAGCACAGAACGAAGGAAGGCCCCGGCCAGAAGCCAGGGGAAGGAAGGCCCCATTTGGCCCTGATCACTGGCCAGGCCGAAGAACACTACCCGTTCATGAATTTCATGCACCAAGCCTCTAGTTATGTAATAAGACTGTCTAATTTTGCCCAGCTGGTGTGGCTCAATGGTTGACCATTGACCTATGAACCAGGAAGTCACGGTTCAATTCTAGGTTGTAGGCTCAATCCCCAGTGTGGATCATGCAGAAGGCAGTCGATCAATGATTCTCTCTCTTCACTGACATTTCTCTCTCTCTCCATTCCTCTCTGAAATCAATAAAAATATACATTAAAAAAAAAAAACGCCCTAGCCTGTTTAGCTCAGTAGACAGAGCATTAGCCTGTGGACTGAAGGGTCCTGGGTTTGATTCTTTTTTTTTCTTCCTGGGTTTGATTCTTAATTAGGGCACATGCCCAGGTTGTGGGCTCGATTCCTAGTGGGGGGCGTGCAGGAAGCAGCCAATCAATGAGTCTCTCTCATCACTGATGTTTCTAGCTTTCTCTCCCTTCCCTTCCTCTCTGCAATCAATAAAAATATATTTTAAAAAAAAGACTGTCTAATTTTACTGTGAGATAAAATTATAAAAATCTCTAAGAAACATTCTATTTAACAGTATTTGTGTACATTAATTTCAAAATTAATTAGCCCAGCTGGTTCAAAGTAGTTTTCAAAATATTCATATCATAAGCTAATATAGATGAGCTGCCCTTCTAGGCCAATTTTAGAAAAGAGAATTTTATTGTATGAGTTATTGAAGAAAAGAAAAAGTTGGCACTAGAAACTGAGACTGAAAGGACAGAATATCCAGAAAAGAGAGTCAGAAGTAGCTTTAAACTACATACCAAAACCTCCCACCTACCTTTATCACAGGCCCATATCGGCAGAAATGTCGTGTTAAATATTGATCCGACACATTTGCAGAAAGCCCATCTAACCACACGCAGTTTGTAGGCATGCTCTTTCCAAAACCCAGCTGAATATAAAAGGCGAAATTTCTGTCAGTAAAGTCACCAATTATTCAACTACAGAATTCTGAGAAAACCTGTCTTCTGTAAGAATCTCGTCAAACCAACATCTCAAGTGGAAAACCATTGGGTTATATCAAGTAAAAACTTTTTTAAAAAAAGTAATACTGCCTAAATAAGCAAGTCTTTACTTTAGATTATAGTATAGCAGAATGAGAATACAGAAATGTACCACCTTTAGGTTACCTAACTGTATTACTGAAAACGTAAATAATAAGACATATGCAAACAAAACAAAACCAAACCCCCCAAATCTTAAAAATCATAACAGTACAATAATTTATGCAAATTTCTTTACCTTAAGGCGGTTATTTCCAAGGTATTCCCCATCCATCTTCTTAATAGCCTTACAAACGCTGGCAATATCACAGTATTGCAAAAATGCATACTGAGGAACTCCATTAACTTTTTTAATATCAATATCCTGAAAAGGCCAATGGATACCACTTAATGATACAAAAAAGTAATCAGAAATTTATTTTCAATAAGAAAATAAATAAAAATAGACCTCATAAAGTCCATATGAGGTATATATTTCTCAAAATAGTCATAGTCCCAAAAATAATTTTCTTAGATAAAATTGTACATCTTCATGAAACTGTAAATTAGTGTAAAAACCTATATAACAGCATTTGTAATCACAAACCATGAAATCGTTCTCATGAAACTCTCTGCAGAAGAGCAACTGCACTACAACTCAAAATTTGAAATTTATAATACCTATTTTAAGAAAAATGTATGATAGTAAAGAAAAGGCAGCCTATTTTATGAAAACCTAAAAAATAATTCTGCAGTATCTGAAGGACTTACTAGAAACAGGCCATTTAAAATATACTATCTGGCCGAAACCGGTTTGGCTCAGTGGATAGAGCATCAGCCTGCGGACTGAAGGGTCCCAGGTTCGATTCCGGTCAAGGGCATGTACCTGGGTTGCGGGCACATCCCCGGTGGGAGATGTGCGGGGGCAGCTGATCGATGTTTCTCTCTCATTGATGTTTCTGGCTCTCTATCTCTCTCCCTTTCTCTCTGTAAAAAATCAATAAAATATATTTTTAAAAAAAAAACACATAAATACTCTCCAATGGGTTTTGCTAGATCATGTTTTAGCAAGATAGTACAAATTAAAAAAACATTCATTACACCATCTAAGTATCATCTTTCCAAATATAATCTGTAACTTTGCTTTGTCTTATGAAAAAGACCTAAAACTGTTTTTATTGTAAAAAGCAACATACCACAATTTCACCAAAGCGCTGGAAGATGTTTCGAAGATCATGGTAAGTGGTGGTTTTTTCAAGGTTGCCAATAAAGAGGGTTCTTGTTGCTTTGGGATGAAATTCATCTATCCTTTCATCCAAAGGGCGAAATTCATTTTCACTTTCTGTTTCTGTAAGTGGGATGGGGGCAGAGTAAAAAGAGAAGAGAGTGTTTTTGATGTGTATTTATATTCATATATCACAGGGGGGAAACTACATTTAAGAAAGTAACATTGGGCTTGAGTACTCATACAATCTGAAAAATTATACACATCTTCAGAAACAGCAAAAGAAGAATACAAAGGCTAACAAACTTGTCCCAAAAGTAGGGGGAAGTAACACTTTGATTTTTAAAATAGGATAGTGGACAGAATTTCAATCTGCAAGTTGATTTGTTGAAAAAATAATCACTTAACACAGAAATATATTTTAAACCCCAGAAAAATGGTAATTATTTTAGCCTAATCTTAAGTTCCAAAATTATGTTGCAGGCTCTCAACGTGGAGTATAAACTATACATAAAACTCAACTGAAATCAGTCCAGCTTCATTACTTAATTTACTTTCAACATTTTATGAAATACTTAAGATTTTACATTTGTCCTACTAATCATAATCCACACAACCCAAATTCCTGTCTCAATGCAGCAAATTTTAGATACAAGAATAATAATTGCATGATAACGGACTGAAACAACACTTATGAAATATCTTCTTTTGGTGTTGTACAGACCTCAATGACAACTAGAAAAAGACTAAATGACTCTTCAAGTTTCTATTTCTTATGATCAAAAGCCCTTGTTTAATGTCCAATTCCAAGAGGTCCTTGACCTAAAGAAGAAATCAGCTCCATACATTTCAATACAAAACATTTATGACAAATCATCCAACAGCAGAATTCCAACCAAGTCTCTATACTCAAATTTGATTGCTTTCCACATCCCATTAAACAGGTATTTCATGTTATCCCACCTTAAAAGGTAGCTTCAGCTTTCCTATTCTTGAAATTAACCAAACTTCTCAAAATCTTCACGGGTAGGTGATTAAAACCCAATTACATCCTGGGTTTTAGGTAAATGATTTAGATAAAATGCTTTTTTACTGTATAAATCTCGAGCTAGCCTCACCACTTGGAGTTAGTCAGCTCTCAATAATGACCCTAAATTAGATCCTCACTACTTACATAATATCCTCACTAATTATGTATGTCAGTTCCTTAAGAATAGATGACATTCTAAATATAATTCCAAATGTGTTAAATAAGAACTGCTCTTAACCCAGTATAACTTAGGGCAGTATCTCAAAACTAGCAGAGAAGTGGGAACATGAAGACATAACCTAGAATTCCTTTGAAAAGATAATATTCCTCTGAATTAGTGTTTTATCACAAAATTATGCACATTTTACATTATTCACTCTAACACCTCTGTGCCTGTTTTAATACACAAATAACATTCTTTTCAGGAATATTATTTTTTCTATTAATTAAATAAAATAAATAACTAAGAAAATGAGCGATGTTTACCTTATAAATTCAAAACTCAAAGTTTAGTCTTAAAGTTCATCTCAGCTACATAATGGGACTGTATAATTTTAACATTTCTATTCATTCCTTTACAAATTTACTCACAAGATGCCTTAAATTAGGGGTTCCCAAACATGCATATGTGAATTCTGAACCAGCAAGCTGGGGTAGGGTTCAAGAGTCTGCATTTTAAACAAGCTCTACAGGTGATTCTAAACTGAAGGAAACATTGGCCCAATCCATGCCTGAGAAGACTTCCTGCCCTGTAATAGGCCTTTCAGGTAAGTTCAAGCTAATAAAATGTCCCCTTGAAATTCTCAATGGGTCACACTAAGTTAGCCCTGCTTTTCCGTCACTATCTTTAAGGTCATAGAAGACAGAATAACAGATCCAACTGTGCTGGGCATAATGGAAATAAAACTGGTCTAACTAGTCCCTCAAATCCATATAACAAGTAATTTATTTTTAAATTTAATCCAGGATAATTTTGTTGTTATTCTCCTAGAAACTATTTCCTTATCTCAATCAAGTTAATCCTTTTGGGAAAGCAGGACAAAATAAGGGGCTAAACTCTGCCTTTCAGTCACTCCTATTAAAAGTCAGCATTTCTGCCCTGGCTGGATAGCTCAGTTGGTAAGAGCGTTGTCCTGACATGCCAAGGTTGTGGGTTCAATCCCTGGTCAGAGCACACACAAGAAGCAACCAATAAATCAAATTTTTTTTTTAAGTCAGCATTTCTCCCTTATAGAAACACAATTTTTACCCTCCCTAACTAAAACAACATAGTTTATTAAGCTGAATAAATAAAGCTGGAATAGTGTCCACATTTAGAATACTATGCTGCTGTTTCATAGGCTGGAATACAAATTACACAAATTCCTCTTCTCTTACCTGGCCCAATCCATGCTGTTACTTCAATCTGCATGCCAAAGAAAAGTTTTCCTTTTGATGCAGTCAATGCTTTTTCTTGGTCCTCTTGCTGTCGAAAGAATACCAGGCCATACCTCTCTTCTGAAGCTCCATGTATTTGCACTGAAGTCACCTTTCCAAATTTTTTAAATTCATGGAAAAGGCCATCTTTAAGGCTTGTATCTAAATCGCCAAATAAAAACAAGTTGCTTATTTTTCTAATCTAGTTACAACTCAATAAGTAAGCTAATTATTAGCCTGATTTTTAACCTAAGTTTTGTTAGCCTTAAAACATTATGTTTTCAAACACAATAACTCTAAAAGGCATTTTGGAGCTTACTGTACAATTCTGAAATAAACTGAGTATTAGAAGATTTACTGATTTTTTAAAAAAAATCTGGAGTATAGCGTAAGGGGAGTTTATTTTGCTACTCCTACTTTTGGTTATGTTTAAAACTTTCGCCCAGCTGGTGTGGCTCAGTGATTGAGCATCAACCTATGATCCAGGAGGTCACCGTTGAATTCCTAGTCAGGGCACATGCCTGGGTTGCAGGCTCGATCCCCAGTGGGGTGCATAAAGGAGGTAGCCAAGCAATGATTCTTTTCATCATTGATCTTTCTATTTCTTTCTCCCTCTCCCTTCCTCATTGATCTATTTCTCCCTCTCTCTCTGAAATCAATAAAAAATATTTTTTAAAACTTTCATAATAAAAACTTTAGATACATGAAAACAACATATGTAAAACCTTTAAGACTTCAAAAAGAAAACCATACTTCTAGCTTCCCAAGCATCATGTCAATGATAAAAATGTGTGGGAAGTGGCATGTAACATCCTAAACAACTTTCAGGCATTTTACAGATGAATCATGCCATCTGGGGGTCCTGTGTTAATTTGTTTCATCATAAGAATCAAGATTATATAAAAAGACAAGCCAATTTAACCCTCATCTATTCCTAAATTACCAAGAATCTAAATCAAAAGCTCATCAACATTTGTGTCTCAATATCTCTATTCACAAACCTGGTATGCAGATTTTATAGGCTGTTTTATTTTATTTTTTAGAGGAAGGGAGGAGGATAGAGAGATAGAAACATTAATGATAAGAGAGAATCATTGATTGGCTGCCTCCTACATGCCCACACTAGGGATCAAGCTAGCAACCCAGGCATATGCCCTGACCACGAATCGAACTGTAACGACCTGGTTCATAATTCAACACTCAACCACTAAGCCACTTCAGTGGGGCTATAGGCTGATTTTTTGTGTGTGTTTTTTTAAGGCTAGTCAAGTGAAGCAGTGGGAGTGGAGAAGGAACAAAGAAATCTGTTAACTGGCTGTGATCAATTAGTTGTAAGACACCACTGCACTCGGACCAGTTGTGTTTTAATAAATAATTTAAGTAATCACTGAAATGCACTTAGCCAAGAAATATTTAGTTTGATCTTTTTCATTTTGACCATACATATGTTGTTTTCATAGGTAATATGCCTAATATAGGAATAACAGTATATTGGGGTCAATTGTCATTTTAAAATATCACGAGTAAAGGAAAGACTACAGTATAGCTTTTCATTAGACTGTTCCATTATTCATGATTTTCCTCATTTAAACTCTTAATATATTTTTTTAAATATATTTCTGTTGATTTCAGAGAGGAAGGGAGAGGGAGAGAGGTAGAAACATTAATGATGATGAGAGAGAATCATTTATTGGCTGCCTCCTGCATGCCCCTACTGGGGATCGAGCCAGCAACCCAGGCATATGTCTTGACCAAGAATAGAACTGTAACTTCCTGGTTCATAGGTCGACGCTCAATCACTGAGCCATGCCAGCCAGGCAAACTCTTAATTTTTTTGAAATGAGTTTCCTATCATAATTTTATGTCCAAAATTATTTCACATAACATAGGACTCCAGAGCAATATAATAAATCTAACTAAAAATAGTATTTCTATATTTTCATCATAACAAATTTCCCCTCTCATTAAAATATTTAATCCAGCCTAGTGTCTAGGCTGGATTAAATATATAACAACCTAGTCACTACATAAAATTATAATAACAACCACTTGCTTTTTCTTACATGGCATTACAAGTTAATGAACCACAAGAACAAAGCTGACTGCGCATGGAAGGGGAAGAGTTAGAAGAACAGAGCAAAGTAAAAAAAGAGAGAGGGAACTCATGGTCATGGACAACAATGTGATGATTGGGAGGGGGAAGTGGAGGAAGAGGGCATAGCGGAAATAAATGGTGATGAAAACAAAATTTTTAAAAAAGCTTGTTGTCCCCGGCCGATGTTGCTCAGTGGTTGCGCATTGATCCATGAACCAGGAGGTCATGTTTGATTCTTGGTCAGGGCACATGCTGGGGTTTCTCACTCAGTCCCCAGTAGGAGGCATGCAGGAGGCAGTCAATCGAAGATACTCTCTCATCGTTTATGTTTCTATCTCTCTCCCCCCCCTTCCTCTCTCTTAAATCAATTTTTTTAAAAACCACCATTAAAAAAAAAAACTTGTCACAACAAAGTATAGAATTCAAGTTGCTTAGTCTCTCATTCCCCAACAGCAACAGAAAGAAAAGTATAGTTTTTACCTGTAGAGCGTACTGGAAGATTCTGAACTTTGATCCCAAAACTTTTGCGGGGCTCATCTTTTTCCAGGGATGAAAGCAACTGGGAAGTGGGTGCGGGGACTGCTGCAGATTGAACTGACCGGGCTGGAGAGTCATCACTTGAACTACTGCTAGAATCAGTGCTGCAGAAGGGCAAAAAAACTTCAGTGAAAAGAGAAACAAAATACTGGAGTATATAAAACTTCTTAGAATCAACAAGTGGCAACAATTAAAAGGTCTAAACTTTAGGCCTGAGACTTTAGGATGCCCTACCTTCTCCACATCCATTTCATACTGTACCTTCAGAGATAGCAGAAGACAGCAAACAGTGGCCTGACAATGTGGAGGCAAAATAAACCATCTTTTACATTACCACATGCCACCTAAAGGCAAATGTTTCATTTTTGAATGCAAAATTTGAATAATTTTTCCAAGTAAATAAGACTAATGAACACAATTCACTTAAGGGTCAAAATAATAATAGAACAATGGATATATGGGTTATTGATTCAGAGACATCAATTCAAATCTTAGCTTAGACATACAGTAGGTACTCTTGGACAAGTCACTTAAGCTCTTACTAAAGCCTCAGTTTACACATCTATAAAACAGAAATAATAATAATAGTATCTATCTCACAGAGTTAGGAATTAAATAAAATAACCCACATACTTGTATGCATGCCTATAAGCATAACCAATGGACACAAGACCCTGAGGGGTAGAGGAGGCCGGGGGAAGGTCAAGGGGGGGAACAAAAGGAGACATATGTAATACTCTTTGTAATACTTTAAGCAATAAAACAAAATTTAAAAAATAATAATAAAATTAAAAAAAAATAACCCACAGGTTGCCCTGGCTGACAAGGGTTACTGGTTACAGCATCAGCCCACACACAAAGGGTCTTGGGTTCGATTCCCAGACAAGGGCACATAGCTGGGTTGCAGGTTCCATCCTCAGCCCCAGTTGAGGTGCATACTGGAGACAACCGATCGATGTGTCTCACATTAATGTTTCTCTCTCTCTCTCTCTCTCTCCCTCCCTCCCTCCCTCCCTCCTTCCCTCCCTCTCTTCTTCCCTCCTTCCCGCTCTTTCTAAAAAAAAAAAAAAACAGACAATCAGGAGAGAGTCTCAAACTCTGAGCTCCAGTTCCAGGGGACCCAGGCTCACACGGGAGAAACGGGCCTGTCTGGCATCGGTCGGAACTCGAGGGCAGCTTTCTCTCAGAGGTGCTCGCAGCGATTGCCGGGACACTGAGAAACGGGGCCTCTGAGGGCAGGACTGAGAGCAGCCATAACTGTTTGCTCTGCCCTGTTGATCCCCTGGGACCCCAACCCACCCAAGCCGTGCAAGGAGCCCTTTGCAACCTGAAAATTACTTAATAAACTGCAGCTGGCCCAAGGCCCCACGGTAACTTGCATTGCTTCACACCTGGCTTCTGCTGGGTAGCCTCAGGCAGAGGCTAGATTAGCACCTCCTTAGTGATCCAGGAGCCAGTGTGCCCGGTGGTCAGAGTGGGACCATCCAGATTGAAGCTCCTTGGAGCCATAAAGGACA